TAATCAGTATCGAATTAGAAACCCTTGAATGCCAAAAAACAATTAATTGACCCAAATAGCACATTCACAATGCCTAAATCAATGAAGGATAAAAAAGCCTTAGACCTATAGCCTTAGCTATGATACCAGATGTTGGGAATATATAGCACAATTGCAGACACAATGTACATCAATAATATAGTTCTAAAGCTCATAAACTAATGACAGAAGTCAATACCCAATCTGAACTTATACATAACAGAAACCAGAGTTCATCAGGTTCATAAAACCAGCATTAACAGATATGTAATCAACATAAAGTCACAATATCATTTAGAGACTGTATCCCAATGTATAATCAACAGAATCACAGCCATTACACAGCAATGCAAGCATTTACAGGATATATTAGAAATAGGCAGAATATACACAACTCATCGAAACTGAAATCAGAACTTATAGAAACTGCAGGAATGGACAGAATACTTAAAACTTAAATAGGGAGGACAGAAACTTCCATTTACAACCGTGTAGCTTCCTCTCTTCTGCTGGCCGAAAATCTTTAGGCTCAGGGATAGCCTTCCACGCCACGCAATCGCCGTCCCAAGAGAGAGATCAAGAACCAACCAAACATCCTTCAACCTTGGCTTGGGTCATCGACCAAATAGTCTACCAAATCAGCTAAGGAGAAGGCCCAAAATCTGACCCAAAACCACAGAGAAAGACACCCCCCTTAGCCACTATTTCAGGCCTAAGATTACACCGGAGTTTCTTCAGTTTGTAGGCTAAAATGGTCGATTTTACAGGGCCAAGGAATGGGAAGAAGATAGAGATCAGACTAGAGATCGAGAGTAAAAAAAGGGTTGAGTCTCAAGGAAGCCAACCCACATGATATAGGTCAAAACCAAAGAAAAATATCTCAACCACAGATCTTCATCCAATGGTCACAATAGAAACCGGCCCAAAAGTGTTAAAGAGAACCACTTAAATAAGCCCAATAAGCCCACATTAACGTTTCAAAAAAAATTCAAAAAAAGATTTCATTTCTACAGTTTTGTGCGTGTAAAGAAAGAAAGAAAGAAAGAAAGGGATGAAGAAAGAGTGGATTACAACCATGGCTCATGGTTGTTCACTTTCATCACCAGACCTCACAAATCCACAGCCCTTTGTGCATCCAATTATCTCATCCTTACCGTACTGAACAATAGAAGGTGAAGATTTATCATTAGTAACCATATGACCCAAATGCGTTTATTTCCAACAAAGGAGATGTGAACCTGCAAATGGCCATTTGCACCAAAAAATTTAGAGAAATCAATCGAGTATTGTACAACGTACAACCAAGCAAAGATGTCGAACATGGAAAGCATCAGAATCGAAATTAGGGATTGAAGCGCCATTCCGAAGATTCGAATGCTCGATTTCTTACCCTGCTTCTTTTCCTGTATCAGCCGATCTGAAAAAAAGTAATCCGCGATAGATGTATCTATTCATTTATCTCTCTTATTTTGGACAATGAATGTGTGTGTATCTGTGTGTGAGAGAAATAGAGAGAGGCTTCTTCTTGAAATGGGAGCACGAAGTTGGGGAGGATAATGGAATTCTA